TCCCAAGCCATTGGGATTACAGGCTACGCTACCGCGCCCAGCTCCCCTCTGGGTTCTTGTGGTAGGAGTTTATAACGCATCACAATATGATTACTGATCGTGTGTCTGTGTGTGTGTGTGTGTGTGTATGCACACACACACACACATATGTGCAGTATTACAGATTGATCCCAGGAGTGCTCCACCTCTGAGCTACATTCCCAGTCCTTATTTTTTTACTTAGAGACGAGGTCTCACTAAATCGCCCAGGATGGCCTCAAACTCACATTCTTCCTGCCTCAGCCTCCTGAGTAGCTGAGATTATGCAGTGCCCATCATATGGGTCTATTATAGCTTATGAACTTCTTAAGGATAGAAATGATCTTATTTCACAGATGCTCAGTGTTTGATAAATGAATAACTTTTTGTTGACTTTATTAGCACCTTTGAACCAAACAGTCTTCCTATATTTTATGTCATATGTGTAAGTCACAGAAAATACCCTGTAAAAACTATCACACAGAGACTTCCAGTCACAAACAAGCAGCTTTCAGTAAATACAAGGGCTTTCCCTACAAACATCCATTAGGAGAAACAAATGAAACAGAAGGAGAAGCATATAAATACTCAAGTAATTAAGCTCCAGAGTTTAATCTCCTTTCAATGTATGGCTATTTTCAGTTGATAGGCTATATTTATTTAATCTGTGGTATGACACAGGCACACAAAATGGTTTTGTTATACAGGATGCTAATGCCTTAAAATAAAACAAAACAAAACAAAAACCTAAGCTAAAATTAAGGAGGCAGGATGTCAAATTATGCTCTAGATTAGGTCCTGGTTTCCTGGATCATGGAAAGGCTCAAATTCTACCACGCCTACTAGCTAAGAAGATAATGACTTCATCCCAAACCACAAGAGAAATTCAACTCTTGGTTCCATAATTCCCTGTTTTCTAAAATGCAGTCACCTGTAATAAGACATTATCTATAATCAGATATTCTATAATCCACTGTTCTAAAATGATCAAAGAAATCCATTCATACCACTTGAATAGGCCCCAAAGGCTTTCCACATCTGTGATGGAATATCAAAAGAAAAGTAAACCATATAAGAAATTCCCATCAAACTCATGTTACCATTTGGTCTTCCTCAATTTAAGCACCTACCTCTCTGGGGCTAAGTCAGATAATGTGATAGAAGGGCACTATTAAGTCACTTCGTACCAATTAAGTCATCAGTATCACAAGATATTCTGGTTAATGATTTGAGGGGTCTCCAGTGTCCACAGACTTGTGCTGTCCAACATGTTGATCATGTCTTCAGTGAGAACACAGTAAATATTCTCACTGTATATGTGGATAACATAAAGAAGGGACAATTCATATGAGAGACACCACAGTCAAGATCCAAAAAAGTGTAAAAAGAGCAATGCCAGAAGGAAGAACAAAACTAACAACCATTTGTCACAATGTGTCAAAATGCATTCTACTGTCATGTATAACTAATTAGAACAAATTTTTTTTTAAAACTGCTAACAAGTCAAATATGAATTGTCAAGTACCAGATGAGGAACCCACCTTAGCAAGGATTCAAATATGACTATTAGGGTTTTAGTTGAGACACTAAATAACATATATATATGTTATAACATATCTGGAAGGGGACTTATAATTTGGGAAGTGTGACAGATTAGAGATAGCCATAAATCTTTCCTGTCAAGAAGTGGGGTCCATGGCTCTTCCCCTAAATTAGGTGGTCTCAGTGACTACTTAACCAATACAATAATGTGTTCATTTGGGGACCCAGATCTTTAAAACTAGTAGTTTCTACTTCCCATTATTTGGAATATTAAAACTTGGAACTTCATTGCCATGCTTTGAGGAAGCTCAAGCAACCACATGGAGAAGAACAAAGCCTCTAGCCAACAGCTGTAGCTAAGTTCCCAACCAACAACCAGCACTAATTGGCTGGCCAGGTAAGACATCAAGAAAACGGATCCTTCAGTTCTAGCTGAACCACCTCTAGTGATTCCAAGTGGGCCAAGATGAGCCTTTCCTTCTGCAATCTACTGAAAATGTAGGCTCATAGGCAAATAGATGATTGTTATTATTGTTTTAAACCCACTAAATTTCACAGTGGTTTGTTAAACAGCTATTGATAAGTAGCACAGACATAGTATACTGAGTCATGGGAAGAAATAATCCATTTGCATTCTCAGCTGACCCAGAATATACCCCAGACGGTGTCAGGTTCTAGTTTTCACCATCTGAAAACTATCACAGGTCAAATGCAAAGAAGTTAGAATGGTGAGAAATCTGAAATACATCACATGAGAAACAAGTGATAGGACTGAGACAGAACATAGAACTGCAAAAGTACACTTGGGACGTGGGGTAAGCATCTCACATATCTGAAAGACTACTTTGTAAAAATACCAGAATTATTTTATCCTGGAATTAGTGGGTTAGGGGCTGCCAGGAGGTACAGTATATTTTGGTTAAGGAAGAATTTTCTAACAGCTGTTCAGAAATGGAGAGATGGCCTTGGGAGGTCAAGGAAGATCGTTGGCTAGAATATCTCTAATCTGAAAAGTTACTCTCTACCCTTAGCAATTGTCAAATCCGAAAGAATCCTAACTTATACTGAAGAGGCAAGACCTTTGCAACTTTAAACATTCCAATTCTGTAAGGAATTGCTGATGCTGATGGGCATCAATCTAAACCCAAAATTCAAGAAATCCTTGATTCTTCCCATTAGCATCCCTGTTTTAGGAAGTACTTTTTCCATGTTTCTTAACTGACCTGACACTAAAGCATAATCTTCCCATATATGCAGGCCTACTCTTTCTAAAATGAGCCAAAGACTTCTGTGTAAATGTGGTGTTAACAAGTGGAAAGCAAGTGCAAAATGTTAGGAAGATGTCTGGGCATAGGGCCAAAAAAACTAAGCATCTTTATTTTACATGATACATTATACCCAGAAGTGTACTAAGGCTTCAAAAAGAAGAAAATGAGGGAGCTCCCCCCATCAACCCAGGGTTAAGAGAGATAACACAAAGCTTCAAGGAGCACAGTTTTACCAACTTTGAGCATGACAGGTCATGGTCAACACTCTGAATGACCTTGGGCAATGGATTTAACCTTTGTGCACTCCTTTTCTTCATCTAAAAATCCAGAGTGGCAAGACTGTTGTTGTTACAGACTTGAGAAAACAAACAGATTAACAAAAGTACTTGGACTGATACAGAACAAATTTTTAAAAAGATGTAGTTCATTTCTTTTCCACTAAGGAAAATGATGACCCAGAATATATGACAAAACCAATTCCCTTCCTTTCCCACTAGACTGTGAGCTCCTACAAAGCAAGGCTCATTGCTTAATTCTTATCTAAATCCAGCACTTAATATAGTGCCTATCACATGCTTGTTGAACTAATTATTTCTAACATCTCTTTCCAGTTCAAGCACTCTAAGGATCTGTGGCTTCAGATCTGGGGCAGAATTAGTTGCAAGCACTTATATGGCCTATATTTGTTTGACTACAAAGTACCTATACTTCAACAGCTGAAAATATTACTACGATTGTAATAAAAATTAATTTGTAATTCATTTTTAAATGTCTCCCTCATCTGCTAAAAATATCTGCTCCATAAGACCAAATAAAATATTTTGTTTAGCATCATCTCCCCAGAGTTGGGTAAGAGCTTGGCAACAAATATAAACATTTATTGAATGAACAAATGATAACTGAATGAATTTAAGTTTTTTTCGAGTCTAAACAAGGCAGAATTTCCTAATTTTAGCAACCCTTCCTAATTAAATTTGAAGTTGCTGCATTTAGGACTGACAAAATGTTTAAAAATAAAAACAACAGATGTTTGATCTCTGGGTGGTGGAGCAAATTTCTTTTTTAAAATCCTTTACTTATTTTATGCTGCAGGAAGTCAACTAAAATCTTGGCACCCAAAAAGCTCATATACTATGTTAGTCTAAGCCAAGCATATTCTGCATCCATAAAGATGACTGTTAACCAAAGGATGTTGAAAAGTATTCCAACTACTAATCTCTGAACATATCAGCTTTTAAAAAATCACTTTAGATAATGTGGTTTTAAGATAAAGGAATGAGATCAGTAGCCAACTGAATGAACCAGTTCACTAAAATAATAAGACTTTCATTTAACAAAGACAAATCAAGAATATATGGGGGTTATAGTGGGAATCAGAAATTAGCTTCTTATCTTTACAAAATGCCCAATTCATTCACTGTGCACATAATTCAGCAACGATACAGTTGTAGCCTCCAGTGAATTCCAAAGTAGGAAAGTGGGACATGATGACTAAGGACAGATGTTTAGACTTCAGGGTCTGCGTCACAAAAAAAACCAGCACTGATTTCAATGCACAATTAGAAAAGGACAATCATATGAGGGTCATTTTGAGGGAGCTTGTGTTTACTATAATCTGTGACAAAGAGACAGGCTTAAGTCAATACAGCACAGTCATAGGTGAAGGTCTAGGACAATCAACACACTATTTCTGAGGACATACCACTTTCCTGATCTTTAATATTTTAATTAATGTGACAAGACAAAACAAAACCCATAACAAAGCCAGCAGAAGACAAACACAGTAAATACAAAGTGAAGCATTATCATCCTGCCATTGTTCTGCAGCAGGAGACTCAGCAACCCCCACTATGCACACCTTGCAGCAGCGATAAACCAGCCATGGCATCCCAGGAAGACCAGAGCCTCTGCAGCAGCCAGACGCCTATTTTCTCCAATTGCAACTCTTGTCCTTAGGAAGTTAAAAGGGGGAGAGAGGACAGCAGGGGAGCCCTAGCAAGCTTGACATGAGGCTTTTAATGAAGACAATATTATCTTACAAAACATGCAGCCCTCCGATAAAATCTAACTCTAGTTTAAAATTTTTACACAGCTTCCTTAAATTCTTACAGATTTAAAGAGAACCTTGTAATAATACCTCTAGAAACTGCTATATACATACAAGATACTCACAGATTTAAAGCAGCTGTAACTTTGGAGAAATGAATACAGCTCCACTATGAAAATGTCTTTCCCTCTCTTCTACCAGATTTTTTTAAAAGCCAATAGAAAGAAGAGACAATCTTCAATTTAAGAGCCAACAAAAGTCTTCAATTTGTTCTATTCTTTTGGCTCCAATTGACTCTCAATTATCAGGCAAAGCAAAGAAGTTGCCGAGGCGACTGACAGCATCCCAGGGCTTTGCAGGGCAGAATTTAAGACATGTCAGTTAAAGTGGCAGCTACACTCATTGCTCTAGCGATGCTTCTGCAGGAAGGGATGCCGGGAGATTTTTCCCCCCCAATCTCTGCTGCAACCTAGTTTTAATCCATCACTGTTTAATTATACTAGAGAAAAAAGCAAGAAAAATATAAATGGTCTGGATTCAGAAAAACTATAGGAACTTAATCTAGGGATTCATCTCCCATCTCAAGGATAAAATGAATTGTTTTAAGGAAAACATAAGAATAGGCTATTGCTCCAAGACTTAGATTTTTAAATCCCATGGACTTTTTAAAAATACTAAATAGGGGAAAACCAATTTCTCTGGAGTTTTTAGTCTAACAGGTTAAATTAGTGAAGTGAATAATGTTACAGTCATATCAATGTAATATAATGTTATAGTCACATCAATGTCACTTTTAAATTGACATTTGATGAATAATATTTGAAATGGCTTTGATGAAATTTTTTAAAATTAGACTTAGAGAATAATTCAAAGATTCTAAAATGAGCAAAATTCCAAAGTTCAGCTATACCTTTTTCGTTTGAGTAGCTAAAAGCTTTACTGGGGAATGAGACAGTCAGTGATTTGATAGGTTTCCTGTCTTACCTCAAGGGCTTCTGCACATAATAGGAGTGAACCTATTATTATTTAAGTTATACTAGGTAATGTAACCTATTATTATTTAAGTTATACTAGGTAATGTATTCTGATATCTCCAGATTGTAAATAATAAACTCCTTGGAATAAATTATAAAACAAAGAAGAAATTTAAATCAGTTATAAGATCATAATCTAGAGCCGTTTAATATTTTGTAAAAACTTACTTCTAGTCTTCTTTCATATATTAAGATGACTTGACAACTAGATGCATTTTTTTCTTAAATACTATTGCTTTACATGTATATACTAATCTTTCATCACGAATGATGATGATTTGCCCACATATGTGACTTACTGTTAACCACCTATATTTCTATAAGAGCTCAAAAAGGTTAGAATACCCAATAACAGTCAATATCTATTTTTATGCCTATTATATGATGGGCAGAGGGGATAGAGAATGAACAGAACACACATGATTCCTGTTCCCCTGAAACTGTAGGTCCAGTAGGGAAACCAGATATTCACCAAATGTGAGCAAATGTGGTAGGTATTGTACAACAAAAGAATACTACAGACATGTCAGAAATATGCAAGTGGCCTGGTCTTGTGACGGCTGGAGTTTCTCAAGGGAGGAAAGGAGAACAGCAAGCCCAAATGAAAAATTATAAGTACAACAGACCTTCATTTTTCCACCAATATAAATATCTCTCATCTAATATTCCTTTTCATTAAAAAAAATTATGACTAGTCTCCAACTATATTTTTGGAATAATATGCAATATATAAGAGGATAACTGATCTAACTTATATAGATCTTATGCATTTAATCAATTAAAACTCAAGCTTTAAGAAATTAAAAAAGGGCTGAACAAGGTGGCATACACCAGCAATCCCAGCAACTCCAGAGGCTAAGGTAGGAGAATTGTAAATTTTGAGGCCAGCTTGGGCAACTTAGTGAGACCCTGTCTCAAAATAAAACATAAAAAGGACTGGGTATAAGCTGGGTACAGTGGAGCAAGCCTGTAATCCCAACAGCTCAGGAAGCTGAGACAGGAGAATCGCGAGTTCAAAGCCAACCTCAGCAACCATGAGGTACTAAGCAAGTCAGTGAGACCCTGTCTCTAAAAAAAATACAAAATTGAGCTAGGGATGTGGCTCAGTGATTGAGTGCCCCTGAGTTCATTACCCAGTACAAAAAAAAAAAAAAAAAAAACTAGATTTTTGTTCAGTGCTGAGTGCCCTTGGTTGCAATCCCAAGTACCAAAAGGAAATAAGAAAGAAATTACAAAAGGTAGGCCACCCACATAACTTCAGATATCTCCTAACTGATCAGTTACCACAGGTTTTAAGCATCTCCAACTTAAGTGAGACATGCTTAGAATCCCATGAAAGCTAAAAAGACTCCTTTGAGAATGTTGAAAGAGATATGACAACTTGATGTGGATTTGTTTTTCTTATATTTTGATGTAAACTAAGAGAGAAAAAAATGTCCAAATAGTTTATATAGATACCCTGCCCTAAAAGAAAAGAAGCACAACTCCCTGAACTCTTTAAGAGTAGATTACAGTGATACAAGGCTTAACTACCATGTGCAAGGCCCTGGGTTTGATCCCCAGCACTTCCAAAAAAAAAAAAAAATGAGTGGGTTGCACATAGTGTCTTCCTTCCAAAGAATGCAACAGAATGACTTTACAGTGGAAAGAGGTGACACACACACACAGTACCTCAGCCATATAATCAAGGGCAACATCAACAATGTAAATCATGTTGACATTGTCATATATATGTATATATATGTATGTATGTATATGTATATGTACACACACAAACACACACTCACACACATGAGCTGCTGGGGATTGAACCCAGGGCCTTGTACATGTGAGGCAAGCACTCTACCAACTCAGCTATATCCCCAGCCCAACAGTACATATTTTTGATAGGTTATAATGAAAATGGCAATTTACCTCTCTGCTCTTCCTTCCAAAATAACCTATACATAACCAAGTCTAACCATATGTTTTAGTCAGCTTTTTCACCACTGTGACTAACAGACCCAACCAGCACAGCAGAGGAGGAAAAGTTTATTTGGAGGCTTACAGTTTAGGAGGTCTCAGTCCACAGACAGCCATATCCATTCCTTGGGGTTCAAGGTGAGGCTGAACATCATGGAGGAAGAGTATGGCAGAGGGAAGCAGTTCACATGGTAATCAGAGAGCAGAGAGAAAGCTCTCCACTTGGCAGATACAAATATATACCCAAAGCCATGCCCCAAATTCTCACCTCCTCCAGTCACACTCTACCACTTCAATTACCACTCAGTTAATCCCTATCAGGGGATTAATTCGCTGATTGGGTTAATATTCTCAGAATACAATCATTTCTCCTCTGAACCTTCCTGCATCATATCACATGCGAAATTTTGGGGGATACCTCACACCCAAACCATAACACCATAAGAAAAACACAAGACAAATTTCAACAGAAAAGCATTCTATAAAATGTTTGACTAGTAGCACTGTTCAATTCTGTACAGGTCATCAAAACAAGGACAGTCTAAGAAGTGACACAGCCAGCTGGGCAGGGTGGCGCACGCCTGTAGTCCCAGTGGTTCCAGAGTCGGAGAGAGGAGGATCATGAGTTCAAAGCCAGCCTAAGCAAAAAGCAAGGCAATAAGCAACTCAGTGAGACCCTGTCTCTAAATAAAATACAAAATGGGGCTGGCATGTGGCTCAGTGGTCAAGTGCCCCTGAGTTCAATCCCTTGTGCCCCAAAAAATAAAACAAAATAAAATGTATCCCATAAAAATTCTGACAATACAAAAAAAGTTATAGAAGAGGCTTTTTAAAAATAATAAATGCGAGGCTGGGGTTGTAGCTCAGCAATAGAGCACTTGCCTAGCATGTGTGAGGCACTGGGTTCAATCCTCAGCACCACATAAAAATAAATACATAAAATAAAGGTATTGTGTTCATCTACAACTTAAAAAAATTTTAATAATAATAAATGCCTTTTAATCCCACACACTGAAATACCCAATCCCAAATATACTAAATGTATGTGTGTCCTTGTGCAAGCGTCATACACACACACATACAGATACAAACACACTGAGATCCCCAGCCCTTTTTTTTAATTTTGGGACAAAGTCTTGATCAGTTGCCAATGCTGACCTTGAACTTAACAATACTCCTGCCTCAGCCTCCTCAGTCACCGTGATTGCAGGCATGCACTACCATGCCCACTTGCATGTTGCCATTTTACAAAATGCTTTCCAATAAATTATTTCATAGATTAAAGACACATGTTACAAAACAATGTTTACTCATATGGAATTGCCTGGAAAAGCATCCTGACACTATTTCAATTACTGAATTGTACTAAAACAATAAGAATGCTCTTTTAGAACACATATGCTTTAAACAACCAATCATGGAATTAATTTTCTTGTAATGATTACACAGGATTATTTTAATCAAAGAAAAATGTACATTATGAGTATAATTTATTTTAAATTGCCCCCCTTTTTTGGGCAGTACTAGGAATTAAACCCAGGGTACTTTACACTGAGCTACATCCCCAGTTCTTTTATTCTATTATTTTAAAACAGGGTCTTGCTAAGTTGCCGAGGCTATACTTAAACATGTGAACCCTGCCTCAGCCTCCTGAGTAGCTGGAATTACATGTGAGCACCACTGTGCCTGACTGGGTCCAAAATTTTTAAATGGCAAATAATCTCTTAAATCAATGGGAGATTTGACATGCAGAACTTTATATACGCACACACTTTTTTTAATTGCATAAAGCTAAAGTTGCAAAAAACCTTAATAACTTCCAAAATAAATAAAACCAAAAGCTTACAACTGAGTTGCCTATAAGGGAGACCAAAACGATTCCCTTATCTCTGAAAAGGCTAATTCATCAGAGCTACATTTGTATTTCTATTTGTAATTATAACACTCTGCTCATAAGTTACAAGAACAACAACAAAAAAAAAAAAAACATGCTGCCTTGAATATTTTCTTTCTAGACAATAAAAATAAAATAAATGACCTTGGGCACAGTAGTGTACCCAGCAGCTCAGGAGGTTGAGGCAGGAGGATCACAAGTTCAAAGCCACACTCAGCAAAAGCAAGGTGATAAGCAATTCAGTGAGACTCCGTCTCTAAATAAAATACAAAATAGGGGTTGGGAAGTGGCTCAGTGGTTGAGCACCCCTGAATTCAATCTCTGGTACCCCCACAAAAAATGAAATAAAGTACACTGAAATTACTTTATACAATAATGAAAATTATATGTAAATCCTCAAATCCCTCTTCAGTTTTAAGTAATTGCAGAGTCCTTCCAATTTGTTAGTGGCTATGTAAGTCTTCAGACCATTTATCAAATGTACAAATACATGATACTAAACTATACCTAATACAAAAATGTACCTAAACCAAGTATTGCTATGCCTTTAAGAAGTTCTATTCATGTAGTTCTACAAAAAATAATGAGAATCAAAATGGAGAGAGAAGGGAGAAGGGGAAATTGAGATTAATTTTCAAAACAGTAGTGAAATCTGGCACATTACAAAAGACAAAATTCCTAACTATGTGCTTTTGGATGTTTTATTAGTCATTTTAAGTTGCTATTTTTATCAAAAGGTAGATAAAAGGAGTATGAATGTGTCAGAAAAAAAAGGGCAGATAAAAGATGGTACAAAGTTAACAAAAGGAAATGAGCTCACTGTATTGCTTAGAATTCTGACAGCT